GTCCAAAAAGGTTGTCGTCTCCTGCTTTTAATTTTCAGTCCAAGCGTGCAGCAAAAGAGAAAAAAAAACCCCAGTTTCCGTTTGATATTAAAAACCAGCGAATTTGCTTTACAGTTTTCAATCCAAACCGTGTAACATCCACATGGCACATCTGCCTTGAGTCCTTTGCGAATTCTGGGTTGATCCAGCACGTGCACGGGACACCGGGCATTCCGTGGAAACAACAGTCACGTCCTGTCGGTTATTTTTTTTTCGATAAACAGGAACCTTCTGCAAGTAAAAAAAAAGAAAAACACAGCCGGTCCAACGTGGGATTCCCGGGTTTCTCGTCCGATCAAGTATTCAAACCCCGCGCTGCCTTACTAACAGAAATATATACAAAATGTGGCACGTGCAGCCCTTTGTAATTCCACCGCTTGCTGAAAGGCCTCTCTCCATACCCTGTCAATCGTTGGGGTTATTTTGACCATACTTCGCCATGCTGGTCAATAGAGGCGGGGGGTTCGGGGGGGGGTGTCCCAGGACCAGCTCAGGTATCACGTGCCGCTGATGTTAAGCGTCGACGGGTATCAATCTCAGTTCGCTGGGTGCACAGCAAAGTGTGTTAGCCACTGCGCCACCACTCTTCGCCATATACTGTATACAATTAACCCGTTAGAACTGCTGTACAGCAAAATGAAAAGGTACATTTGTGTGGACAATGTTCCTTCTCCATAGTAAAGAGACAGGATACATATTTACCGATTTACTGCGTTGCCATGACAATAAATGGTCGAACTTTTTTCAAATGAACGTATATTCACACGAGTTATAGGAAACTAGCCATTTGGCAAAAAAATGGCATTGTCTCTTCTGCCCAGCCACTAATGTCGTTGTGTGCTTTGCCGTTTGTGTCGTTGTCACAGTATGGCTCCGATTGTAAATGTGATTGGATGGACTTCAAAATACACAACGGCAGTCAATGGAGGAAAACATGCCCCGGCAGACGTGACAAAGAGCTTCACAGCTCATCGGATTTCTCGAGGATAAATAACGATTCCAATTCTGAGGACGTCCACCGCAGAGATGGAGCGACAAAAACCAATGACATCGGTTTATGTCGAGCAGCGAGATGGACCGTGCCACCGCAGAACCACGAGAGACCACGCCGGCAGAGACAGACCTTCATCCAGCGGTCGGGTTGACGATAAAGACAATAACATTTGATTCATTTGTGCATTTCGGCAGCTGCGTGTGCAACGCGAATCCAGGCGACGGTGGTAAACGCACAGCCACTCGACACGGCTCGCTTCACGATGCGTGGTCGGTTCGCTCCGCGCACGTAGAGTGGTCGTGCATCGAAAATTGCGATTCATCATGAGGACAATTTAATCGCAGACACTTTCCTCGCCGCAAAAACGTGTTCGAGTGCAGTGAGAATGTGGCCGCGGAGAGATTGAGTCCTTGCCACGTCCGTGTGCCGCCTACATCGTGGAGAGTTTTAAAATACAGTCATCATGAATTATACATGTCCCGCCGGCAGGAGCGGCGATGCAGTGATTAGCGCACTCCGATTTGAACCCGGCGACCTGAGTTCAGCCAAGGCGAGTGGTATCCGAAGTGATCCTGAGCCACTCCTGCACTGATCAGCGTGGTCAAGTATGGCCAAACAGCTTCCATGACACGGTATGGGGAGGCCTTCATCCAGCAGTCGACTGACAAAACAGCTGTAAATTACTATCATTTGATTTAGTAAATATATAGTGAATACTTGATTGTATATGTAATTCAAATATCCAGTAGGACACACTGCCTTGGCATGAAACAACTGTGTGACAGGACGAATCAAGATCTAGCACCAATGTATTTCATTGCCAGTGCCTCTTGTGGAATGAGGGTGTGAAGAGCAACACATTTTTTTTGTATCCTCGATGTCACTCGCATCATATCGCCAACTCAGTGGGGGGCGAGCAGTGGAGAGGTGGGGAGATGTTCCTCCCCTATACTCCCCCTCCACCCCCCCCGGCATACCTTCTGTGGTCATTCCATAGGGCATCACTTTACTTCGAATGGCCACTGTGTGGGGATTCTGCGAGAGCTCCCTGCGATAGATGGTGACGGATATGGCGGTCAAGGCGCAGCCCCGCAAGCGCTTTCTCCTGCCACCGCTAGCGGGAGGGTCTCAATTCGATGAAGATCTACACTAAGTATTTTGACTACTCTTCCATCTTTATCAGACGTGTTGGAATTGGTGGAAGTACCCATACTTGACCCCACCGAATACAATACTCCGAACGACTAATTGCGTTCTACCCTATTCGTACTGCCGGGTGGACAGAGGAGGTGTGGGAGGGGGAGAGAGAGGGGGCGGAGTGTAGATGAACGGGGATTTAAAAGAAAAACGTGTTCCATTGTTTCTGACACACCGTGATATTATTAATTCTAGAATTGAAGCTTTCGTGACTGCAAGGATTCATACTCTTAGTTCTTTCGGTAAAGTCACGTAGGTAAAAAATGAAATAAAAATAAATAAAAATAAAAACAAAATAAAAATAAAAACAATGTTTTTATTTTTTACTTTGATTAATTTTAATTTCATTTTTTTACCTACGTGACTACACCGTGAGATGGCATGGAAGAGCCGACCCTCTGGATTGCAAGCTCAGTGTGCTGCTGCCCATTACCACACGGAAGCTCGTCTGAGCGACCAGTGTGACTGGTAGCTAAATAAAGTGACCGCGTTACTTTCCCCACAGACATCGGGAAACAAAAGTCACTGACGCTATGTGCGCAGATATTTTTCTCTTTTTAAATCCTTTATATTAAGTTCGCTTGCTTGCTTGCGCGCTTACGACCGTGCAAATCTTTCGGTCATTTTTTAACCCACTTCCCGTGATCCAATCGAGCTGACATTTTCCACACAGACTCGTTGTGCGTGACAATTAATTTTCGTGAAAAAATTTTCCTAAATTTTACACTTTTTAGGAAAAAATAAATTATATTTAATTACCAATTGCTTAATGCTGCCAGGCAATCATCTGACCCATAGGTGGCAGCCATCTCAAGCCAGAGGACGAGAGGACTCTAGCCGCCACGCATATAAAGGATTTATAGTGAAAAACTTTGTTTTTACGGGTTAATTTTTTTTGTATCCACACGCCAGATTTCCCATCCAGCCACAGACCGTCCCCGGTCGCTCCTTTTGCTTTCACTTCATCAAATGTGAAGGGATGCTCTGCAACGTTCAGCTTGTGTGCAAGGTTTTATTTGAGGCTGGTGTATTTAGGGTTTAGGGTTAGGTGTTATGATTTGCGGTTGGAGTTAGGGGTTTTGGGTCAGTTGTTATGATTGAAGGTTAGGATTTAGGGTTATGGACCGTACGTAGTATCCAAGACTGCTTTTGTTACCGAGCATTTGTGAGAACAGCAGTCTCAGCCTTTAAAAGTATATTTCTAGTGAGGATTTGAACGAGTAATCCTCCTCTGGTGTTAAACACGGTACAGTATAACTACACACAGTGTGTGTGTATAGAAAAACAATGGATACCTCCAGCGGTATTTGTTCGCTATGGTGCAGTTACATCAATTTCATCAATTTATACACATAAGGGTATATTTTGGTAATCATAAACAAAAAGACTTCTCATAAACTCATTAAAAACACAACTCCTCACTTATGAAATGGCTTCAAAGTCGTCGGTGTAATGTTCTACTCACAACTGTACGTCAGTCACTGCCCTCTTTTGCTCTGCTGCTCTGAATAAGGTCCGTTGCCCGAAACATCAGCCTTCCATATATTGTCCCCTCTACAAGGCAGTGTTAATGACGGGTGAGGGGTTTAGAAGTAGGGGCTGGGGGGTAAGGGAGGTTATTGGAGGTTATTGCCAGTAATCCAGAAGACTGCTTCTCATGCCAGACATCTGATGAGATGCGTTTTTTCCGAAGGCCACATTCATTGTCGCTCATTGGGGCAAGATTGTGCCGGCATCGTGTCCTATATTTTGAACTTCCTTCGCACCGTACGTCGCCAACTGTGCTCATCGGAGGTGCAAGTCACGTTCACACCGTAGTCGACACACACGACGCACAACTTAACATACGCCACCGCACACTGCACATGTCCGCCACTTTTGTAGCCTTCTTCAGCAGTGGAAAACCGAAGACTATTTTGTTTTATTATTATACAGCTTCACTCGGCATTGGCAGGTCCAAGTCAACAGGGAGACACACTCTCTCTCGTAGGTTGCCGTGTGTTTCTGTGTTTGCGGCAATGCCGTGCAGGTTGAATGTGCCCGTCCGTCCTGCCGAACACGTTGTAACGTCTGCCCGACAGATTCCCACATGCGAACCACTCGCGTTTCAGCACGGGGGATGTGCCGCCAACAGAATGGAAATCTGACCTCAAAAGTGAGAAGAAGCTTTTTGGTGTTTGCACGGGGACAAAATAATTCCGCTCGGGGAGAAAAAAATAATATTCATTCTAGATTTGAAGCTTGTAAAAAAAAATAGGTTAACGCGTTTTTTAACTGAAAACAAGACGACTTTCTCTCTGGTGCGAAGTTAAACTTCGCACTTCGGGCAAAAGTTAAACTTCACACGTAGGCGAAGAGACAAATGTTGTTGAGAGGATGCGACAGACGGCGCACATGTTTTTGTTTGTCTCATCCATCACGGTCCAGTCACGCTGCCAGACGATCACCGGGCGAGCGATGAAAGCTGATCTCACTCAACAGTCCGCACGCGGCTGGCTCTTTAAAAAGGCATTTAAATGAGAACGCAACATCAAAAAAAACCCCAAGCAAACGCGGCCACGGTGCGAACACGCACACACAACGCAGCGCACACAGCACAGCGCACACAACGCAGCGCACACAACGCAGCGCACACACACAGCACACACACAACACACACACACAACACAGCGCACACAACACAACGCACACAACACAACACACACAACACAGCGCAGACAACACAGCGCACACAACACAGCACAGCACACACAACACGCGGGCACAGTACCTGCACAAGAAGCTCCAGGTTTCGGTCATCGAGAAGATGTATCTGGCAACGACGGCCCTCCGTCATCTGAAAGAGCATACGCCAAGACGGGACTCAGCACTTGAGCAGTAAAGAATCCGTTGTCACCTACACAGTGAGCACGCAGCAGCAGCAGCAGCAGAAGCCGCCGGCGAACATTCGGTTGGGTGGGTGGGTGTGGATGTGGCGTGTGAGTGCTACTCTTGCGAGAGGCGCCGTGCTGGATGGAGGAGATTTCATCCCACGCGAAAACCCGTGGCTGGGTTGGACAGAGCAGCGGGTGGGAGTGGCGATGCTGCCTTCCGTATACCAACCACCCACCCCAAACATCAGTAGCAGTAGCAGCAGCCCACCCAGCATCGTGACTCTCTGATTTGTTTGCAGTCGGCCCTTTCTCTATCTCTCTTTTCTCGTTTTGCTCGCCCCGGTGAGTTTCTCGTCATGTACCAGAAAGCGTTAGAATGTGTTGGCTTTTTTCGATTTAAAGCTTTCGTGACTGCAGGGATTCATCTTCTTGGTTCTTTCGGTAAAGTCACGTAGAAGGGAAATAATAAAATAATAAAAATAAAACTTAATAAATACAATTCTCACGACGTTTCGGCCACAACGCAAGTAGCCGTCCTCAGGTGAAGAACAGGTCTGTTGGAAAGACATTCAGACGCTGTCTTTCCGACAGACCTGTTCTTCACATGAGGACGGCTGCTTGCGTTGTGGCCGAAACGTCGTGAGAATTATTTTATTATGTTTTATTTTTATTTCTTTATTATTTTCCTTCTACGTGACTTTACCGAAATAACCAAGAAAATGTGTTGGCTGTCGCCCTGAGGCCAATGCTGCCACCACATCAGGCACGTGCGCGTGTTGAACTTCTTTCGCACCGTACGTAGCCAACCGTGCGAATCGCAGGCGCGGGGGAAGGACAACACACTGAACGCAACAAACAAAAACCCCCACTTGTAAAGAAATTGGGTTTTCATTTAAGTTGCGGAATGATGGCAACACTGTACCGGTGCGTCCTAGCGAGGCATGTGGCTTGAACGTAGCCTGTACATAATGACGTCACTTGTCCTGTTGTTATCTAAAAGAAGATAGCCACAATCTTGCTTTTTTTTCTCCACTCCCCCCTTGAGCTGGTGGTCAAAAATAAGGCGGTGTTGCATTGCGTCACAAACACGGTATGTATGGTGGTGTCACGTGACATGCCATGCAACGACGACGAGGAGGAGGAGGTCCGATCCTACGGTGACAATTGTGGCTTTGTCAAAGAAGTCACCTTTTCCACGCGTCGTTAACTCTGCTTTTGTTTCGAGGCCGCACGCCCTTTTCTGTCCGAAGAGTTCACTCGTCAATTGCCAGCAAGGGGGTTGATTTACCCAGCCATCCGGCCGCACACACATTAATTAACAGCTGTGCATCGCAGTAAAATCATCAACCTCCAAGTTAAAGTGTGACATCTCACAAACTTTGCTTAGGAGACGGAATTCCAAGTGTATACAATAGTCGGTGTTTGTTAGTAATTTTTGCCAAACAAGGCCGGTTGGTAAATTTCTTATTTCTAAACCGTATGACATCCCCATTAAGGCAACGTGTCTTTTTCTATGCGGAGACCTCAGATAAACTCAGAACCCAGCGCACGGGGGACAAGGTGAATTCAATTGGGGGAAAACAATGCAATGGCAAACATGTATAACTTACAATTCATAAACAGATGTCCGCGCATACTACGGCAGTCTCACATTTTGAGAGTAAATTAAATTCACAATCTACCGTTTTGCTAAACCTATTCTGTTAATTGGAAATGGTGGAATCAGGAAGTCCTGCCGAAGGACCACGAACTCAAGGAATTGTCGATCAACGATTGCGGAATATAATCTCATACTCGTTGGTTATTTCGGTATTTTATTTTTCATCTACGTGACTTTGCCGAAAGAACCAAACAGTATGGATCCTTGCAGTCACGAAAACTTCAAATCTAGAAAATAATCTCAGTCAACCCAGAATGTCTTGAGAGCATTTGAGGCCCCAACAAACCGTGCAAAAAAAAAACCCAATTATGTTCCCAACACTGGAGGAGCTTTTGCTGAAGGTCAATGGACAATGACAATATTGCACAACTTTATGACGGCAAAGAGACTCTTGCCAGGTGTGCTCCACTCCCATGGGTGGCAGCAGTTTAATAATTCTCTCACGGCAGCAACCGACACCTCTCCACATACCGGTCTCTTCCCAGGTCACATTTCTATCAAGAGGTTTCCCCAAAAAGTCAATGATCTCGTCTTATGATAAAAAAGAAAATCCACCCCAAACCCCCCCACCTATACCAATCCTGTCTATTCCCTTCTAAATATATCCCTGTTGATGAATACAATTCACATCCGGATTAAGCTCCACCTTTACCATCATCATACGCTGGATCAAACCCTCACAAGGCTGCTGCAATGTCTCACGTTCTTGCGGTGCGACAATCCATTCACCACCGGGGCCGATTTCATCGCTCCATCTCCTTGGAGGAGATCATCCCTGAAGAGTTCATTCCTTGGTTGATGCTGTTTAAATTGCCTAATCTGTTTAAATTGTCGATTGTCTTTGCTTGATGTTTGCCAGACTGCTTAGGACGACGGAGCCAGCCTTTGTGACGCCCATAAGATTGTAATCTTTAGTTACAGCAGGGTGTTAGAGGACTCACAAACTGTATACAATCTCAATTCACATTTACATGCATTCGTGTCTGTATAAATGTGCGCTTATAGCTCTATGTGGGGCGCGGTAGTGTAGTGGTTAGCGCGCTGCACTACGAACCCGGCGGCCCGCTCACGGCCAATACCAGTGGCGATTTTCTGAACAGGTTCTGGGCCTCCCCTAGGTCGACTCAGCCTCAAATGAGTACCTAGTGCGGTGTGTGAACATCACCACTGGGGAGACAAAGGCGGTCGGCCGTGGTGCTGGCCACCCACCCCCTAGAGTACCTTTGTGGCCTTAATAGGTGCTCGCTACCAGCACTTGCCCCTACAGTTCGTTCAGGAAACACGGGGGCTCTTTGTTGCTGTTTTATCTCTGTGTGTATGGTGGCGAAGTGATCACGTGTTAAGAAAACCGCTCATTTGAGTCCGGCGACCTTCGATTCATGGCCACGGCTAACATCAGTGGCGGGTTATATTTGGCACCCCCCCCCCCTCCCCCCACAAGTTTGGTGAAGTATGGTCAACTAACCCTCATGGGCCAACATGGTGTGAGAAATCCAGCAATGAATTCTTGACAAATGTCTGAAAATGTCGATTATGGTATGAATTTTTACGAATTCATGACCCCATTATGGTTATTTCGCCGCGCCTCTCTTAACAGTACAGGGCAGGAAAACACCGAACGGCGCTGGTAAACAGGGTGGGGGGGGGGGATAACATCTCAGACACAGCGATGGGGGGGCGGCCCCGTGACCAGCACAGCAGGGGATGTCCCTCAATGCGAACGCGCACATTAGCGATGGCAATCGGCGTGTGGGTGTGTGGGGGGGGAAGGAAGAACGACACGGGAGGAAGGAGGAGGAGGTGGAGGAGGGGGGAGTTGTGATGTCGGCTGTTGTTTTAGCTCGTTCTCTGGTTGGCTTCCTGGTGGCTATCCGTCAGCGGTAACGGCGGAGAGGGCCCACGCGCACCATGTCAGGATGTCGCGCAAAGGGGAAATCTGGAGTGAAGGAGGCTTCCTACCGCTGCCGCTGCTGCTGCTCGGAACAAACAAAAAAACTAACTCGTAAAAACAAAGTTTTTCACTATAAATCCTTTATATGCGTGGCATCGGTTTTACTTCATTATTCATTTCTGTTTTTCTTGAGTAAGAGTTTCATTTTTATCACATTGGTATTTTAAATTAAATATGAAATTTTTTTTTCCTAATTTTGGAAAAAAAAATTCACGAAAATAAATTGTCACGCACAACGAGTCTGTGTGGAAAATGTCAGCTTGATTGGATCACGGGAAGTGGGTTAAAAAACGACCGAAAGATTTGCACGGTCCTAAGCAAGCAAGTAAGTGAACTTAATATAAAGGATTTAATAAGTATAACCCGTAAAAACAAAGTTTTTCACTATAAATCCTTTATATGCGTGGCAGAGAACTTAATATAAAGGATTTAAAAATATATTCGCCTGTGGAGGATGCGGGGATCGATCCCGCGACCTTTGGCATGGGAAGCGAGGGCGCTACCAACTGCGCTACTCCGCCACGGCCTGTGGAGGGGTTACGCTCTGGGCTCTTACACTCTGACGTTCAGCCAAAGCCATGAATGCGTTCTATTTGAATATATGTAAAATAAATTTTTTTTGCCTAAAAAGTGTCAAATTTTGGGAATTGTTTTTTTCACGAACAATAATTGTCTGGCACAACGAGTCTGTGTGGAAAATGTTAGCTCGATTGGATCACGGGAAGTGGGTTAAAAAACGACCGAAAGATTTGCACGGTCGTAAGCAAGCACGCAAGCAAGCGAACTTAATATAAAGGATTTAAAAATAGCCAAGCGCGCGCTCTCTCTCTCCCTCTCTCTCCCTCTCTCTCATTCTATGCCCCCCTTAATGGGCGCGGGTTATTGTTTTGGCCTTCGCGCACGCAAACTCATTAAGTGCGGACCGCTGCGTTTGAAAACAGCTTAGAGGACGCCGTTAATTGGGCATCTGTCACGTGTGCGTGTCGTGTTGTGTGTGTCGTTTTTTTAAAAAGTCCGCCGCTATTCAAGTGGTTGCGTGCATCTTGAGCAAGGGTAGGCGGGTGAACGAATCGCAATGTCAGATATTAAGAACTGTATATTGTGTGTATTTTGTTTGTATAAATGAGTCTTGTTCATTGTTGTGCTGCTGCATTGTTGGGGTGGTCACATGATCTCGACTCTCTTGAGTGTGGTGGTCTAAATGACGAAATGGCCACACGTTCAGTTCTTTCGCGCTGCTGGTCTGGATAAGGCTGAGAGCTTTTTTTGCACGTAAACGTTGCGAAAACGACCTATTTAAGTGTACACAAACCACCAGCACACTCTTCGCGGCCATTATCTAGTCACCACTT